AAGGCTAGTGCTTATTTTGTATTTCACACTCACGTCCCCAACTCTCAATTATGAAAGCTTGGAGCAATTATTTATACATGACATGAATATAGCTGAGACATAACAAAATATATTACCCATAGTTTCTTATTATCATAGACTTATGAGTTAAGTCTACATTATTATTCACATTAATATTCAAGTCCAAACAAAATTACTAAAATAAATGAACCTATATATAATGAACCCCATATAAATTATTATTTAGCCTATTTTTATTAAAACAAAGAAAACATAAACACTCAGCAGAATTATAAATAATTCTACAACTATCAATCTATCATACTTGTAATTGTTCACAAAGACTTGAGATTTATATGTTCGAAGTAGCGAATTATTCCTAGTACTCCAAGAAATTTTTTTGAATAATAACTCTTCTAGCGCATCAAATACGCATACGGAAATTTCATCTAAAAGTGGTTGCAGTTAGTTCAAGTTTTATTAGTTTGTTTTAACATGCTAACTGTGTTGCTTACATGTATTTTTATAGTTGGTAACCTAAAGTCAGTTATTGTAATATAAATATAGTCTCCCTGTATCATCAAGAATCATAATATTAGAAAATTTATTTTCTCAATTTATCAGTATCTCTCAGTTTCTTAGATGGAACAGTGATCAAAATGTCATTTCTTGACAAAATTTTTACCCAAATGCCATGCGAACAATACTTTTTACTAGACTGCACACTGGACATAATTCGCTACGACTGATAACGAATTATGTTCGCCAATGATTTTATGACACGTGACACACTTTTGCAGGAAAATGCTAACGTTTCATAATTTGCTACTAGTGATAGAGAATTTGGTCTGCAATTAATATGGTCACGTGTCACGAAATCATTGACTACGAAATTCGCTACCAGTAGTAGCGAATTATGAAATGTGGCAGTCTGGTAAAATATACTATTCGCGTGGCATTTGAGTAAAAAATTTAGCAAAAAGTGGCACTTTGGTCACTGTTCCTTCTTAGATTCTTTATGGTATCAAACCTTCGTTAATCGAAGCTCTGGTATTTGCACCCTATGTGTTTAACCAGTTCAAAACAAAGCTCCCTACCAGATTTCCTTAGGAATCCAAGGCATCATCTCTTCCTTCATCCAAGCGAAGTCCCTCAAGCATTCTTGTTTCACCAGTTCTCAATGGCGCAAATTATCATGATTGGTCAAGAGCAATGAAGATGGCCTTGATGTCAAATAATAAGCTAAAAATGGAGGATGGTTCTAAGACGATTCCTGATGCAGAAGATCAGTGGCAGAGCCAGACAAGAATGTTAGGTAGTGCCAAAAAATAGAACCTAGCCAGTGCAAGCTTTACCATTTTCTTTTACACTTTTTCCTTGTATCTTTTTCTTTTTTATAATTGGTCCATTTATTATACGGCGAGTCAAGCTTTTTCACTGGATGAATTATTTTGTGTACCATTTTTGCTACTCAATTAAAACAAAGGTTTGTCCCCCCTTTTTATACCAACTCTAATTACTTTTTTAGACGAGTAGGCTCTCCTGAATATCCTCACAAGCTTCGGTTCTTTGAATCGACAATGGGACTAATATCGAGTGCTGGGCGAGTCTAGAATTAAGATCTTATGCCCCTCCCAAATGTGGTATTGGTGCGAATCGAATCAAGGTCATTCTACCTCTTATTCAGCTCTCATGCACCAACTGAATGTCAAATAATGCAAATAGATTATAATGTTCTCCGTTACTTATTATATTTTAATCATGATTTAGATCCCAATAAGATACCTAGCTCTGTTATTAACCTATTTTTGGTGATAATGCCATTTACCTATTGATTTAAAGGGCCTATTTAGAGCATTTAATAAAGAAGATAGGATGTGATAACGTATCTTATCCTACTTTTATCTCTTGTTTGGTGGATCAATAGGATATGATTAACTTATCCTATTGCCTCATTTTATCCTATCCAATACACGATTTCTTATTCTATTAGGGGAGCTGAGTTAGGATTGAACATGATAGGATACCAACATTGGAATGAAAGAACCATTAATCGCTATACCTTTTTGAATTGAATGAAAAATTATTTTTGAATGAAACATGGAACATGATTTTTGAATGATGGTACATATGATATAGAGGATATAAAATTTAATTTAAAATATTTTGTTTAAAATTATAATTGTATAAATCAATTTAAAAATTAATTTTTGATAAATTATATGATATATATTTATTTTTTTTGTAAATAAGGGAAATCAATTAAGACAGAATACAAAGTCTAGGGCTAGAAATGCCCATCAAATCCCTACTTAAGAGGTTTTTACATTCCATAAGTGGATCCTGAAGAATGTGGAGATCCCAGTCATCCTAAATACTCCCATGGTTTGCAAGATAGTCGGCTACCATGTTTCCATTCCTATACGTATGGCTGAGCTTAGTTACCCATTGTCTCTGCAGCATGTGACTGTTCTGGTTTATCAACGGGGCAATTGGGTGAGACTTGTCACAGCCTTTGGAAACGAGGTTAATAGCAACCTGTGAGTCTCCCTCGATCCAGAGATTTTTGATCCCAAGGTTTCAGGCAACTTGAATACCATTCAGAAGATCCCAAACTTCTGCTCTCATAGAAAAAATGGTTCCTAAGTTTCTGCTGAAACCCACAACCCACGTACCAGCTGCGTCTCTAATAACTCCTCCACAACTGAAGTATGCACCTGCCATGCTACTTGATCCATCGACATTAAGTTTTGCCCAACTATCAGGAGGAAACTGCCAGGATATGAACTTCTCAATCCTCTCCTTAATGCCAGCTCAATAATTGCCAATCTGCATCGCCGCTTCCTTGTAATTTGAAACGTAAACTTTCGCTTCTCTGATTAACACTGATTGGCTGAGGTTTTTTTGGTTGAAAACAAGATCATTCCTCGCCTTCCATATCAGCCATAGAAGGACACCAAAGAGTTGGTTCCAGTCCTAATGAGAATAAAAAACAGCGAAAGAGTCAAGGTTGAAGGTAATCTAGTTCTGAAGATTGGGCTCAAAAAAAGCAGGTTGTAAATCTTGACTGATTAAAAGGTTCCAAAGATCCCTGGTTCAGTTGCACTCTCTTAGGACATGTAACAAATCTTCCGACACAAGGTTGCAACGAGGACACAAAATGCAGGCCATTAAATTTCTATGGCCTTTAGCCACATTTGTCAAAAGAGAGTTACCTAAGGCTCTCCATAGGAAAAGATGAATTCGAGCAGGACCCTTCCATCTTCATGGACTCAGGTTCCGCGCCACCCCTTGAGCTGATGTAGAATCCTCCAAAGAGTAATACGCAGATTTATAAAGAAGAGACCATCACTAGTCAATGCTCAAGTCACCAAGTCTCCTCCATTCTGAACTTGGGGAGGCATGACGTTGGCTATTGCCTTGCAAGAAACGGTTGAAACATATTGATTAAGTAAAGGCCAATTCCAATCGCCCTCTGCATTGACAAAACGAACCACCTTCCAGTTGCTTTCATCCTCCGTTAAATTGACATCGTCTTTTGGTTGGATTGGTTCATTAGTTGTAAGATATCTATCTATCCAGAAGCTAGTCTTAGACCCATCACCAAATTGAATCTTGGATCCCAAAATAACTTTCGGCCAGACTCTCGTCATTCCTTTCCACAGAATTGAACTTTGTCTGGCATGTTTGAGCAAAGGAATCAGATCATCTGCTACAGAATATTTGTTCCTCAAAACTTGGACCCAAAGGCTATCTCTTTGTGTTAGCATTCTGTGTCCCACCTTCATTAAAAGAGCCTGATTCATTGTTCTCATTCTTCTAAACCCAAGCCTACCATTTATTTTCTGCTGACATATAGTCTCCCACACAATAGAATGAATTTTCCTTGATTCCTGCGTAGATCCCCAAAGGAAGTCTCTGGTGCGTCTTTCGATCCCCTCACAAATATTCACAGGAAGCAAGCTGAACTGCATAGTGTATGTAGGTAAAGAGGCCAGGACAGATTGAGCTAAAGACGACCTACCAGCCATAGATAAGGAGGATTTCTTCCAATTGGACAGCTTGCTATCCATTTTTTGTAAAACATGATTGAAGTAGCAAGCACTAGATCTACCATGCAAGAGAGGGATACCTAAATACTTCCCCAAATCTGAGGTTAGGGAGAAGCCCAACATGTGAGCAATTTTTGAAGCTCTGGTGTGATGAACATTTTTCGAAAAAAATATCCTAGATTTATCGGTACTAACCTTTTGACCTGAAGCCTTGTAGAAGCAAATGAGGATCTTGTCAATGAGAATTGCTTGGTCTAAGGAAACCTCTACAAAAGGAGGAGATCATCAGCGAAGAAGAGGTGGCTTAGGTGGGCCTTTCTTCTTTAAAATAACTGGTTTCCACATCTAAGTGTCAAGAGCATGAAGATTCAAGTGAGCTAATCTTTCAATGCACAAGACAAAAAGATAAGGAGATAAGGGGTCTCCTTTTTTAATACCCCTCGACGGATTGAAGTCCCTTGTAGTGGAGTCCTCCCAAATAATGTTCATGGAGGTAGTGAAAACACACTCCATTATCAAATGAACAGCCTCAACAGAGAGACCAACTTCGATAAGAGTACGATGAAGATAACCCCATTCTACCCTATCATAAGCTTTTTCAAGGTCAACCTTGATTGCCATCCAACCCTTCCTACTTTTTTTGATTCTCATGGAATGCATGATCTCCTGGCAATAATTATATTGCTTGTACTATGTCTTCCTCTATTGAAACTGCACTGGTTAGGAAGAATGAGAGAGCTCAAATGAGGCCTTAGGCGATCGGCAACAATTTTGGTAACCGTTTTAAACACCACATTACAGAGACTGATTGAGCTTAAATTCTTAATGGAGACTAGATTCTCAACTTTAGGTATCAGGAAGATAAGGGATTTGTTGATGGGTCTCACTTGAGTAGGGTCATAAAAAAATGCTTCTAATCAGGTCGCACATAGAATCTGCTATGATGTCCTACTGAGACTGGAAGAAAATCGTCTGGAGACTATCTGGTCCAAGTGCCTTGAAGGGATGCATATCGAAGAGACCTTCTCTGATTTCTACATTGGAGGGACTCACGTGTAACCGAGGAAAGGACGGACTCGTTACTTTGGGAAAGCAGCCAGATAAAGGAAATGGAGTGATAGGATTCTCTTCATCCGTGTAAACTTTCACAAAGAAGTCAACAACCATTCCTTTAAGAGCCTGAGGCTCACTAATCCAGTTATTATTCTCATCTTTTAAAACAAGAATTCTGTTGTGACGCTGTCTTGAGAGGGTGGCATTATGGTAAAACTTTGTATTCCTGTCCCCATTAAGCAATAATTCACATCTTGATCGCTGGAACCACAAGAGTTCTTCTTGCAAGTAAATAAAGTGCAGTTCTTCCCATAAATGACGTTGAAGGGCTTCTAAGGCAAGGCTTGGGTGGTGTTGAAGGTCCTCATCAATGCCAAGGATACGTGCATGGAGATGAAACTTCGTATGGGTGTGGGCTTTGTAGCAAGTGTCATGCCAAACCTTGGCTTTGTGCTTGAAGTCCTCACTAGCCACCCTCCAATGAGCACTCATACTCCAACAGCCACGTACCAACTCGTCAAAGCCGTTACAAGTCAGCCAAGAAGCCATGAAACAGAAAGGTTTGTTGTTGTGATCAGTGGCCACTTTCTTTCCTTCCTACAGAAGAAGTGGTCTATGATCCGACGAGAAGAAGGAAAGATGGAACACAAAATGGTTTGGGAAAGAATTGATCCAACTCTCATTAACAAGGGTTCGATCCAACCTCTCTTGGAGAGTATTTCTCTAAGTGAATTGAGGCCCTTTAAACCCAATATCATTCAAGCTGCAATTATTGCAGCAACTCTTGAATTTATCAATACTGCCAAAGCAGGCATGGTCCCCTCCTGTCTTCTCATTCACATTTAAAATGGCGGTGAAATCACCCATAATGGACCAAGCCCCATTCACCAAGGCTTTTAAAGAAGTGAGACTCTCCCATAAGGATCTTCTTTCGTTACGTCTCGGGCTTCCATACACAAAGGTAGCATTCTCTATTAAGTTAGAATGTGGAGCGTTTATTCTGTGTTTTTATCTTCCAAGCTTTTAGTTTTTTCCAATTTTTTAATCAAACTCGAAATGGGGTTCAAAGATTTCTAAAAAGATCATTCTTTTTTATCAATGAATTCTTCTTCTTTTTTCTTCGTGCACTGAATGGCTGTGGTCATGCAGCACATATTTCCTCCATCAAATCCTTCTTTTTCTCCAACCTCAAATCCGTCGGCGAGATCCCCATCGCCACCTAAGCATCAAGAGCTTCCATTTCTTCTTCACATTCTCCGATGCATAGAGAAGCAAGTACATTCCTGCAAAACCTTGTCCAACTCCTTCAGGCTTCATCAAACAAGGTTACAAATATCCAAGGCAGTGCTAATAGGGAATTTCTCTCGATTATCCTTTACCAGATTACAGTGGACAATGGTTTATTTTTGAAAACCAAACCAGTGCCAAGGCACTGGCTGGTCTCAATGTGGCTCCGCCACTGCAGAAGATCCTTCTTATTCGGCTTGGGAAATATGTAATAACATGGTGCTTGGTTGGATACACAAAGCTATGAGTGATTCCATAACTAAATCCATACTTTGGATTGATAAAGTTTTAGATGATTGGAAAGACCCAATTTAAAGTTTCTATAGCTACTATTAATGTTGAAATAAGACTAATCCCTGACACTGGTGCAAAAAACTTGTTATGGACTCACAAGTGCATCGGTCATATAAGTAATAAAGTGGATAAGTAAGAGTATCATTTCCATGAGGATTAGATTTCAAGCATCAATTCGTTATTTATGCTTAAGTTGGATAATTTGATCAAGAGAGTTGAATAAAAACTAAATTAAAAGCAAAGCAAGAAAGCAATAATAATGGTTCCTAACAATCAAGAAAACGCAATTAGAGTTACGATTTTCCCCAATTTCCCCTTTATGTTCTGAATCAAAAACCTTAATTAAATGTCCTTTTTATAACGTCAATCGATTCCCCTAAGTTAATTAAGACTCAACTCCTTGATATCTTAATTCTTTATTCTCTATAAAGAATCCTAGTTCCCAAGTTGTTCTTCAAAGAAAATAAATATTACATTAAAGAATCATAAAGATCGCATAATTCCTATGTCTATCCCTAAAGTCATACAAATTAATGATGAATTTACGTAGCCTGATTCATATACCAATATCACTATTGCCATATACAAATCATAAATCAATCTACAAGATCAAGAACTCATAGAAGGCATAAAGAAAAGATAAATTCATTCAATGTAGAAAGGAAATATTATATTAAAGATTATTAAAAAAATATAAAGACTTGATTGGGTTCCATCTAGCTCTAACTACAAAGAAAACTAACCTAACATAACAGAAACAATAACCCAAGAAAAGGTAAAGACTTTCTCAAACTCCATTGATGTGATGACGCGATGAATCTTCAGGTTTCCAACATAATCTTGCCTCTAACTTATCTGTAGCTCTCAAAAGCATGAAGAACATGCTTCTCTGATGTAAATTGTTCCTCCGAAATCAAGAACTGCTAAGAACTGAGTAATTATTTGAAGAATAGCTTAAATAGGTGTAGGAATCCTTTTTTTAGGTGAAAATCACATAATGAGCCTTAATTGGGTTGCAAACAAGCACTTCAGCTTGCAAACGGGGATTGTAGCATGCTAAACCGATGTCAAGTTACGTAATTAGTGCATTAAAATGCCCTTGGAATGCGTTTAAACATGCTTTGGGAGAAGGAAATTGCATGTATTATTGCGTTAAAATGCGCTCTGGCAGAATGCATTGGCTTGTTCACGTGTTTAGTGCGTTAACATGCGCTATAGCGCATTAAAACATGCTTTTTGATTGCAATCACATTGTTTTGTATTTTGAGCATAACTTGAGCTATACTTACCGATTGATGTGATCTTGGTCTACAACTTTTATGAATAACACAGATCTAAATCCACCATCTTTGATACGAAAAATAGACCGAAAGACACCTTCAGGGAGATTCTCACTAAATCATTGCTCCTCATTTATCATATGATCTAAATCCACAGATCTAAATCAACTCTATTGTTCTACCAAACAAGCAAGAATATTCACATGAGTAAATAATTCATAGTTAATACTTTTTAGCCAAATAACTCTAAGTTTTTATACTTTTGATTAGACATACTCGTTTGGTGGACATGATAGGATAAGAACGGATAGGATAAGAGAGTTGGATAAGGATATGATACGATATGAGGATGATAAGCTTATATCATGTCCTGTGTTTGATGAGCACCAGATTAGCAATTTGATAATATTATGTTATCCTATCATGTGTTTGAGGCGAACCAGATATCATCAGGATATCATACAAATAGACTAAAATACCTTTTTTATCATAATGTCATATAATTTATCAAAAATTAATTTTTAAATTTTTTAAATTTATTTATACAACTCTAACAATTATAATTTTAAACAAAATATTTTTTAATTAATTTTTTTATCTGCATATCATATGTACCATTATTCAAATATTGGGTAACGTGGGGATATATTGGGTATCCAATATTGGTATCCTATCCTGTTGAATCCTAACCCAGCTCCCCCTATAGGATAAGAAATCATGTATTTGATAGGATAAAATGAGACAATAGGATAAGTTAATCATATCTGATTGACCCACCAAACAAAAGATAAAAGTAAGATATCATAAGTTATCGTATCCTATCTTCTTTATCAAGTACTTCAAACATACCCTAAGGTAGTGTTTGGTTCGGGAGAATTTTTTTTTACTAGGGAAATGTAATTGCTAGGGAAATGGTTGGAAAGTGAGTTTGGTAGGAAAATGTAAAAAAAGTTGTTTGGTTGACCGAAATATTACCAGGAAAATTTATTTAAATATGTAAAATCTATGTTCGGGAGAAACTTTGCACCTGTTTTTTCACTTCCTCAGTTATCTCAAAATACCACATCTCAAGTGGTATTCTGTAACAGTGAATTTCATCCAAAAATCAACACAAAAGTCATTTTCCCATCTATCCTATTTGCCTAGTATTTTTTGAAAAAACTTGAACCAAACGTGGTATTTTCCAATATCCACTTACACTTTTCTATCAATCCCAAAATAAACCTTCAACCAAACACTACCTAAGAGTTATTTTAATCTTTTAAAATATGATAAACTTTGACTTTATCAACCTATTTAAAGGACCAACGACAACCCTTCCTCGAGACTTGGTGATAACATGTTTTACTCCTAGTTTTTCTCCTCACCGAATTCAACTAGCACAATAAGTTGTTGGAGCAGCCTTTTGTCGTTTCCCGGCCCGAAGCAAATATTTTGGATGCCTACTCACTTAATGATTTTGACATTTTATATATTTGTTAATATAAATACATTCATGAAATAAGACATATTATTAATAGAAAATTAAACGAATGGCGTAAAAGACGGTGTTAAGAAGTTTACACTAATAATATATTAAAATAGAATTGAATTTATTATTATTCTTAGAACAAGTTGTAAAACATTTAAAAACAACCAATTTAAATAGAATATTACATCTCTCATTTTATGAAATTCCATACGTCATAAGAGGTTAATAGGGCATAATATTATTTTATGTAGGTTTTGACATAGCATCATTTCGTGAAAATCTTAAGGAGATTAATATAATTAATTCTTTTTTTAAATGCCACCTACATATTATATTATGTTTTATATAAAAACCTTAGAATCTTATGGATATTAAATTATATCATTAATCAACGGGATTAATTGGTTCATTTGTTTAATCTTTCACCCATTGACAACTAAATGACCTTGGTGAGAAATCAGGGATTTCCATAAGATATGCTACTTTTAATTTTTATATTCTCATTAAGGTTAATTAATTACCTTAGAAGGGGAAGTACTTTTCGTTACCTTCAACTTTTTTTCATGAAAAAAATATCATTTTTTTTCCCACCAATTTGCATATCATAATGGTACTTTTATAAGTTTATGGGTGTGCATAACAGTCATTCTGTTCTCTGACACTATTTCTAAAAAGAAACAATTATTTTCTATTTCTGTGCCTTGGAACAGTTTCTGAGAAAAAAAGTGTTTAATAACATGTTTTATTTTTATTCCGAGAATGAGAATTGCGTTTGATAACTGTTGCGCATTCGACAAGTGTACCGATCGTTCTAAGTAATAAAATGATAAGTAGAGTATCGTCTCCACGAGGATTGAGACACCGAATTTATTATAACTATTCCTTTCTTGTTGGATTAATAAAATTGGTTTAAGGACAGTTGTGATTTGTGAAAAACAAGAACAATTCAAGAAAATATAAATAACTTCCAAGATTCTTTTTTAAACTCAAGAACAAAAGATTAATGGTTGAGAGAATATTTGATAAAATACTGCGGTAAAGAGAAACAAACACCTTAATGATCCCCACCTTGTATCCTGAATTAACGTTTACATTCAAATATGCAATTGATCAAACGATTCACTATCTTTTATTTAATTGGTTAAGCCCTAATTCCTTAA